GGGGGGGGAGGGGGTGGGTCAACTGAAGACCAGCATGATTTGGTGATTTAAGGCGTTTTGGCGAGAGCGTCAAGCGTTATCTTTAACTCCTGCTAAGCTGGTGGAACTACCAGCGCTGAGAAACTAACCGGACCTACTTCAGGGGCAAACTTGTCATTCCGATCAAAATCTGGCTAGAGTTTCAGCAATTAAGCCAGTAGAGGGCAAACTTATGCATCGGCGTTGATTTTATGAGCGGAGCATCGATGTAAATATCAATGAGCACGTGCTGAACGGGCCACTTGTGTGTAGGATTCCCAGCGTCAAGTTCAGCTGCAGCAGGTTTTTTGGGACCTATGTCCCACCATATTGTGCACAAGGTGACTTCCTTAAACTATGTACAAAGAGCGATCCCATTTGAGAACCTGTACAAATTATGATGCGGACTCTGATGCACGGCTCATCCTTAAATAGTCAGCGTCAGCGTCAAACCTCTCCTCGTTTATGTGACTCCACCTGAAAACTTACCACGAAGCAGTCACAAAGAACACATCCAAATGTTTTTGCCGACGGACTTCTCCTCTAGGAATGACCGCAACACAGATGGCGATGATCATGAAGAGGTTGAAAGCAGCCGATCCGACGATGGTGTTCGGACCAAGATCACCGGCTTCGAACTTTTTGGCCATCACCTGCAGAAGATTGTCAGAATAACTTTTTAGAGGAGTGGGAAAGTCGATACTGTACGACTACAGTAATCTTCATATATGCAACGAATCTTTGATTTCACGTTTGCCTAAAATGCCCAAGAGCTAATTGACTTGCCTCAATGATGGAGAGCAGAATTTCCGGAGCGGAAGAGCCTGAAAAATGAATCGATTTGTAAAGGTGTTCATTAAACTGAAAAGATGAAATGTTCGGTCCGATCAGTTCCTTTATTTGGGATGCGCCATGAATTCAGCTTCCATTAGAAACTGCGATGGGATGAAGAAGGGTCCTTAATCCTACAATTGCACTACAGTGCCAGCTTGGGAAGGGAGGAGGAATCCAGAGTTCAAACTGAGAACAGGTATAATGAAATGACTAAATATATGAGATAATCTTCCGAAAAAGGCAAAATCTGACGCGATGCGGCCCGCGTCCCTGTTGGTACAAAACCCAACCCCGATCGCGCTGCCTACGTCCAAGATTTTTCAAACTTCCTAACTTTCTTCAATTCTTCTGGGTGCACTGACGAGGGAAGCGAAAGTTCCCCCCCCCCTGCCCCGCCGAATAGAGGATAGGGATAACACGCTGACAAGTGCATCCTGTCTTACCGGCGTTCCTGCACCTTACCCAGCGCGCTTTTTGTCGTGTTGCCTAGCCCATAACGTAATTGAAAAAGTGCTAATCAGAGCCGTCCGCAATTAAATTTGCTACGCTGGCGTGTAGAGACAAATGGCGCATGTAATGGTGTCCGTCCAGCTCTCATCCATCTAATATCGCTCGATGTGGGTGGAAGATTTATGGGGCGAGCCAGTGAGTTTTGATTACAGTTCTTTCGTTTACTTGCGGGATGACGAGACAGGAACGGTTATGGCAGCTAGGCAGCGCTTTTATTTTCGTTTTTCTTCTGACAGGCTGTATCACATCGTCCTAACAGTCGTTTTCACCAGCTATTGTCGCTTGTGCTGTTCAACAACTGGTGGGGACGGACGCAAATCCAGCCTCATTGACACGCCCCTTCATCCACAGTGAACAAAACCGCACGTATGCTTGCACCTTGTAAGTCATCGTGTGGGCTAGTCTTTAAAACCTGTTACGATACTGAATAGAGTGTAATGCATGGCGCATCCCAAAAAGAATGAACAAGGTTTTGAAGCATTAAGATATGCTTATCACTTACCCAGTGCCATGAGAGTCAGATTTGAGACGGTATCATTCCATATTCGTACGTTGACTTGCATGGGATCAAGCCCCGGTCTCTTTACGATGATTGTTCTCTCCATACTGAAAAACGATAGGCACTGCAATGAATAGCACAATGCTACTGAGCAACTTTGTGATCAACGGGTGACTGAGAATGTTGGTCAGGAGATCCACGTTGCGGCAACGCGGCGAAAGCTGTGTTGCAAATGTCGTCACAGGCGCGACACTTCACACCATGAACTGTCTACCGCATCGTAGAAGTCAGCTAGCTAGGAAATATTGGCTGAAGCCAAATGCACACGTAGTCACGAAGTGAACCTCCCGACTAGGCACGTCCTGCTGTTTGGAACGATTTTTGCCAAATGCGCCTCCCTCCTATGGATTTCCTCCTCCGGTTCGACCTTACCCATCCCCAAGCTACCTACCATTTTCCACGATTTGCCCAGCTTCTTAACTTCTCACCAATTTTCCGCAGTTTTTTCGAAATTCTCCAGTTCTTCCCCGAGAACTGTAGCCGAGAGGGATAGATATAGCGCGCGTGAACAGGGAAAAACTGGAAGAAGTCAACAATTGAAAAAGTTTCTTCAAAGGGCAAATACAATCTCCCCTCCCCCTGGTTTCCAACGCACAACGTGCCCTGCACCCAGAATGTAGTATTCTGTTACCTGATCAGGGCCAAAACATTAGCTTTAACCTATTAGATTTGCTAAATTCGAGAAAAAACATTAGCTCAAATCCAAATTTAGTTTAGTCCCCAAGTTTCGCTTCCACTGGAACCACACCGATTAAAAAATGTCCTTGGAAGGAATTTGTAACGATGCGTTTGAAGACTTTCTGCTCCGAAACGTCACAAATTGCACGTATTTTATGAAATAAAGAAATATTTCATGAGAATCCGTATTATGCTTTCCACGGAAACTCAGAGCATATTCTATAAAAAAATGAAATATTAGCACACCTGGTGATGACTTCAATACTGCTCATGAAACGATCAGCCACGATCGATACGCCCAAGAAGCAGTAGGCGATGACGATAAAGTATATAAAACCACGGACGATTTTGTCTCCAGGGCTCAGATCCAAAAATGGTCGCCTGAAATTCATAGACGTCTAATGTCAATCTTCTGAAATAGAATGAGAGGCTATTTTCCATAGTACTCGTAGGCAACATAAGGCAGGGTATTTTTGGGAGAGTGTCTGGGGGATAGGCGACGAGTTTGGCTGCCGTTCGCGGCGAAAAAAAGCCTCAAAGATACTAGAGGGCTCGCCCTGTTAGGCGGAACCAATGAATAGATGGGGCAGTCTAGAGAGCCGTGAGATTGTAGAGAGATAATCGAGACCAATCAATGCAGTGGAGTGTGTGAAGAAGACCAAAAGAGGAAGGCGTTCGACGAGAAGCGCTTAAGTGATGGGCGAGACATGGGAAACAGAAAATTTCAAAGAATAAAATTGTGCAAGCAATTTGAGATTCGGAAACCGACAGGTGCTGAGCTAGTCATGGGACCAGCAATTCGGGCTTAAGTCTGAGATATGCGCACTATAAGTCGTAATCATCGCGGCATATTAATGACAAGGAAGGATCATTTCACGACATTCATTCATTCATTCGTTCGGTTTTCTGGAGTTCTGATGTTGGGCAGCAATCAGTTCAGGTTGACAAGCCCTTGAGATTCAGCCTGGGGCTAGGAGGTTCGAAGAGGGTAAGCAACTTCTATGCACCATTCTTTCATCAAAGCTAGCTCACGCAATCCGGAGCTCTCATCCTCTTTTTCCACCGCCAGTACGGACGTGAGGACGACTGACGTAGTGCTGATGACGTATTCCTACATCGACTTTACTAGCGGCGAAAAATCTCTGCTATAATATCACCCCCTCTCCAACCACACCAAGCTGACAACTGTTTTTGCTGTTTATCTACAACATACCAACACCACCTTACAAGTGCTCACATATACCCTTGAAGAAAGATTCGTCAAAATTTTGCCTCAAATTTAGACCGGACATAGTGGAGTGACTCAAACTGGAATAGCGCTTGAAGCCCTTGAAGTTAAAGAATTGTAGAATAAAATGAAATCTCAAAATAATTGCCCGGTATGCCAAAAAGTCTGCAATTGCAAGTCCTTCTGGAAAAGAATTTACGTAATTTCGCTTATTCTACTGCACTTGAAACATGACGATACGGCCTCCATTGTGTCACACTTGCACAAGTTTCGCTTTCCTTTCTATAAACTGATCTTTTGTCCCTGTCGCTCTTTAGTGAGATTTCCACGAGAATTCATGAATTGGTTGCAGCTGGGCGATCTGCACATGGTCTTCGTCGCTATTGAAGCTTGGCGTGGTCGCGAATTTGACAAATGGATTATCATTAGTGAAGCGATCAGCCAGCCTATCAGTCGAAAAGACGTTTTAATTAGACACCGTTTTCATTAAGGAAGGCTGAAGGCTGATGAGGAGCTAGAAGCTGAAGAATAGCTGTCTGCCACAATAGGGAGGTACATGAATTGCCTCTATCGGAAAGATCCAACGCACTTATATACAGGGGGAGCAAAAAAAGACACTTTTCTTCCTCGACTTTCAAGGCGCTATAAGTTACACTTTATTAAATTCTGATTGGACATTTCCACCATCATATTCAACAACACATTGTACACTATCACGATACTCCGCCACAGCCTTCTGGACGAACGCCATCGAGAGATTCTGCCACGCGACCGTGATTCGGTGCCTGAGTTCAGCGAGGTCGTTGATTTCTCCGCCACTGTAAACCACCCTGTTAACCGAACTATTCCGTCTTCTTCAGGTACTCAACGCCCTTCGATTCCAAGTAGGCGAGAGTTTTTCCAACGCCCTTCGATTCCATGTGCTGGCACCCAATCCTGTAGCAGTACGAAGTTTCCAAGATGTTACGGGCGACGACATGTTCAGTCCGGGGTCCACGAAGGAAAATATCGGTCTTTCCATTCCAGGTACGTCCGGTCCATACCATCAACCCGCGCCTTGGCGACTGTGGTGAAGATGATGTCCTAGACCGTAGCGACGTTGTCGGAGCTGCTCGATGTTGGAGGTCTTCCAGATCGAGAGTACTGGTCTCCAGGTAGCTATCCATGGGTGACTCCACAAGAAGTTTCGCAGCTGTTTGGAGGTGACATGAATTCCAAAGGTCTTCTCCAGTCAGGCTGCGTGAATTCCATAGGTCTTCTCCAGTCAGCTGCGACTGGAGATGACTTCATATTTTGGTGTACATGAAGGTGATGGGCGAGAGCCAGCTCCTGCTTATCGAGGAACATCTTGGGTATCTTCCGCCCTGGTACTCGTATCCACGTCTTCTGTCTGGGCTGCGAAAACTTTGCTGATATGTGACT